ACGACAATTTTCGGAGGGCATGCACAATAAAAAAAAACTTTTTTGGTACAATTACAATTTTACGTTGACGTGTAATAAATATCAATTATGTTCACCCTCCTCTATTAATTTATTATCGTATATACAAGTAGTAAAGTTACACCCCCCCCAAATGACCTAAGACACAAACACACCCTCCTCGGGCCCATTCCTATAGAAAGTATGTACTCAGTAAAATACAATGCCTCAATATAAAACAAATAGTTTACTGCCAAATATGGGCTCCTGGGGGCAAAGTACACAACATAAAAATACTACATGAATGAGAACATTTTTTCTTGTGTTTATGACATTACAACAAGCTAAATCTTTTCAAACTCATTTAAAAATTATTGAAAAAAAGTTATGAGGAAATGTTAAATGTTAAAAATGATGCATGTGTGAAACATTTATTAAGAAAGGATCTGAATAAGGTGCCTTTAAATCGAAAGAAAGGATGAATTGTTGGTCATCACATTAAACAGTTAAACAAAGTACCCTGTACATTTACTTCCAAGTGTATGCAAAGCCAAAAGTACGATGAACGTGTATCAATTTTATTTCCAGTAAATCGAATTCATGAACCTGAAGTTGTGCTATTACAAAACTGGTGAATAAATTAAGAAATAAATAGAACTTTTACAAAAGTCAATTGTTAACAATTTTTTTTAATGACAATTCAGACGATGATACTATAGAGTGAAGAGAGGGGTATACACCCCGCGTACAACATGTTGCATACACCCCGGACACAACATTGATTTGACTGTTTTATTTACAGACAATTTGTACAAACGTTTATATTGTAAACATGTTTTTAACAATAATATAAAAGTGACGATAAACCAAAACTTTGTTCTGATATTTGAACAAAAACACAGTGTAGCGTCAATCTTGCTCCGATCCTCGGAATTGTGTTGAGGTGTTTGATAAAACTAGAAGGTGTCCAGTGGATTCACAGGTATCCATATACTCCTTAGACAATGCTTCCTTCCGTAGGCATATGCTTACTGGCGAAAAATATCCATAAGTTGAGAAAATGGACAAAAAACGTACATTGACCCTTTTTCTCTCGCTTCGGAAGTATACACCCCGCGCACAACATAGTATACACCCCGCATGTTGGGATATACACGGTGAATTACATAATGCAAATGAAAAATTATAGAATACAAATGGAAAATTATAGAATACAAATGGAAAATTATAGAATACAAATGAAATTTTACGATACAAATAAAAATTATACGATACAAATGGAAAATTTTACAATACAAATGGAAAATTATACAATACAAATAAAAATTATACGATACAAATGGAAAATTTTACAATACAAATGGAAAAGATCGAATATTGCAACGTTTGACTTGCCATAGAGACACGATGTCGGTGTTTTGTCCACGGCAGTAAATGTACGTGTTTTTCCAACGATGTTATGAAATATTTATATACACATACTTTGATTTTACTTCTTACTTGTATCTGGTGGTGTGTGAACACATGTGCACTGGTAGCTAATGCATGTCAAGTGGAAACCACTGTTACAAATAGTAGTACATTTAGATGTATCTCCATGCCAACCACAGTACTCGGAAGCACACAGCCCTGTCAATAAACATGATAAATAAACATTTTAAAAAGATAAATACATGTATAAATAAAATTGATACATGCTAGAGTAAAAATTGTCTTTTTTCCATACATGATTTTTATTTACCTTCTTAAAGCTAAAGCTTCAAGTAATTAGGAAAGGTCAAAGTTCAATAATCTTATTTCTTACCAATTATTGACAAAAACAAGAGAGCAACCTTCATCTTAGTTCAAACGTTCTTTAGATAGTGTGGAAATGTTTCTACGTGATATCAGGCTTATCTCGTCACGACTTCATTTTGCGTGACAAAATCTACCAAATATACGTAACCGTCAGTGTGCGCGTGTCGCTTATCAAAGTGTCTTCAAACAATTTTATAATGATCCTAAATCGAAGCTACACTATTGTTATCTTAAAGCTAAACCTTTCTAAAAAAAATCTCTCCTGCTATCTGTAACTTCATCATCAGTCTTATTTATATTCATTTAGTTTTTAGGTATCGTTTTTTATGCCATGCCATGAATATGGCCGGGGCATATATTGTTTGTCATGTCCGTCTTCCCGTCTTTCCGTCCTTCAGTCCTTCTGTCTAGCTGTCCTTCCGTCACACTTTGCGTTTAGCTCTGTTCAAAGCTCAGTTTCAAAGAAACTATCCAAGAAATTTTCTTCAAACTTCATATGCTGATAGATATTGATGAGAGGTATGCAACTGCATCAACATTTTTTGACCTTGACCTTTCCTTTGACCTTGACCACACTTTTCTTAAATTAGTGTTTAGCTCAGTTTTAAACATACCATTTAAGATGGTGTTATCATACTTCACACGTTGATACATACTGAAGTAAGCAATTCAACTGCATCAACATTTTGACCTTGACCTCACTTATCTTTAATTAGGGTTTACCTCAGTTTTAAAGATACCATTCATGATATCTTTATCAAACTTCATATGCTTTTAAATACTGATGAGAGCAATTCAACTGCACTTTGGCCTCACTTTTCCTAAATCAGTGTCAAACTTCATATGCTGATACATATTGATGTAAGCAATTCAACTGCATCAATATTTTTTACCTTGACCTTTTATTTGACCTTGACGTCATTTTTTTTTATCAAATTGTGTTTAAGTAAGTTTTAAATAAGGAAATCATTCTAGATATTTTTATCAAACTTCATATGTTGATACATTATTGATGAGAGATATGCAACTGCATCAACATTTTAGACCTTGACCTTTCCTTTGACCTTAACCCCACTTTTCTTGAATCAGTGTCAAACTTCATATGCTGATACATACTGATATAAACAATTCAACTGTATTAACATTTTTGACCTTGACTTTTCATTTGACCTTGATCTCACTTTCATCAAATTGTTTTTAAGTCAGTTTTAAAGAAACCATTTATAATATTTTTTTCAACTTCATATGCTGAAATATTCTGATGAGAGCTTTTCAACTGCATCAACAGTTTTTGACCCTGGCATTTTCTTTGACCTTGACCTCATTTTAATGCTGATACATACTGATGTAGGCAATTCAACTGCATCACTTTTCAAGATATTTTGATCAAATTTCATACACTAATACAAATTTTCATGTTGCATCACTAATATACCCTTGGCGGGGAATTCATGTCCTATGGACATATTTCTAGTTTTAATAATAAAAATCTGAACACCCATTGTTTGCTTTTGTCTTGGACGTATTAATTAGAAATATCAATATTATAGTAAGAAAATAATACCCTTGGTTTGGCTGTTAATTGCCTGCTTAGCTTAACTTAACCCCCTCCCCCTTGTTTCCCGCCTTCAAGAACACGTTATATACCTTAGCCAAAAATAAATATCCAATAATGGCAGCTTAATTTTGGTGAAGGTTAAAGATTTTCAAATGCATTTATTAAACTCTTATGGCCAATGTCAAGAGATAAAAATAATGTTACCCAAAGAAAGGACTTGTCTCAATATATACCTGTCAAAAACGAAAGACAGATCACCAACCATTCAAAAGGTAAGGCCACTGTTTAAGTTTTTTTAAAATGTGGGTTATACTCCAAGGTCAAGGACAGAATTGTTGGTATGCAGGGGAAGGTCCTGTCATATGGAATACACTGTGAGAGTCCAAGACCATCTGTTCAAAAGTTACGACAAAGGTTCAAGTTGTTTAAAGAACATGCCAAGAAAACCTTAGCATTCTCTCCGTATAGCAAACTCAATAAAAGCCGAATTAACATTAATCTGTGATTCTTCCCCTGGGAGACGTGCGGAAGCAATTAATGTCTGCAGTTTCGAGGGAGGGATCTTAAAATTTACTGGGTTAAAATTATAGGTAGAATACTAGTTATTTAGAAGCCTTTCCCCCCCCCCCTCCATTGTCTTTTTCGGGTGGGGGGGGGATGAAATTAATTATAGTAAAGTAATTCTTCAATAAAATAAGCTGCCTTTCAATTTTTTTACGTAATACAATTTCAGAATATTTTTTCTCAGTACAAATAAATTGACATCGGGTCGTTGTGGAAGTACCGCGTCGAAATATAGATAAAAGAGTACCAAATTTCCGGAAGTTTACATCATTTCCTGGTTGAAGAAGATGGAGACGAGTACTGAATGGGTAGACGTTACCCGATTGGCTATGTATATATTTTCATTTTAAAATGAATATTTTCTTTTGATTGTTTTTTCTTATTTTCTTTAGTCCAATTTTTTTAAAAATAAATTTTGGTACCAGTGCCTCTGGCATTTTACGTATTTTGTAAATAAAGATATTTGACAGTAACTTTTTAGGGTATTTGTACTACTTCCTGGGGTGGAAGTTTATTTTTTCTTTAACTAAGAAAGCTTAAAACCTAGGATCCACCCCCAGAAGTCTGCTGCCGTAAATTGTCTTGCTGGCGTTTTGGGAATATGGGTGATTTGCATCAATTACACTTTTATTGACTCCATCGCTGTCGAAATCGGACGAGATTTCTTGGCATGGGTTACACTCTAAGTTCAAGGTCAAATTTGTTGGTATCCAAAGGAAGTCTTTTCAGAAATATATCCCTGAAAATATCAATTGAAATCCCTAGTTCTAACTGTTCAAAAACTTTAGCCAGGGTTTTTAATTTTTTTTAAAGCGAGGTCAAGAGGTCACATATGTTGGTACTCAAAAAAGGATTTGTCGCTGACACAACTACATGTAACTTAGATAGCCATTGCCGCGGTTCAACCATCGAATGTTTACAGGATAGCTAAAGTTACTATTTGCGGTCAAACAACCAACCAGACAGACGGATGGACTGGGCAGAAAGTTCCCAGAAACTAGGTCTACCCTCAAATCTTCGATTACGGGACCATAAGATAACCTTAGTACGGAAAATATTTAGCTCCTTCGGTTGCTGATCGGTTCAGCAATTACACACCAAATAGTATTTCCGGTATAAACAACAAGCATGAAGTCCAAGGGCGTAGCGTTAAATATTTTTATCAAACAAATGAATTTAAAACCTCTCAAGAACATTAAATTTACGTTTGATCCATATCATAAAGGTGTTCGTTCCATAAGGTATGTAAAAAGTAATTCCTATTTGAAATAGTTTTAGATACTGATCATGCTGATAGATTTTTGTCTTGTATCCAACAGGTCCAGTTCAATCTCTTGATTTTGCAGCTAGGCTGTAGCTTTATTGTCTAGTGCAACACACATTTATATTAGTGGTAACCAACCAGTAGCAACATTGTTATAAAAATAGAGAGAAGTATTTTCATATTTTCGTAATTTTATTTCAGAGAGATGATGTGCATTATAAATTCACCCAAGTTGTTAGATACAAATCAAAACTTAACAACAAAAGTGGACATAAAAAGTGACAGGACTAGTCCACAAATGAAGCTTAATTTTGGTAAGAAAAAACATGCCACATCTTGTAAAAACGACTTGTTTATTTCTGACGGAAATACACTTAATTAAGTATATATAGTTACATGTATTTGTGATTGATTTAACATTATTTTGCTTTGTTCAGAATCTTTCATTTTTCCTCAACTATAATTTTTTTTGTCTAGCTGATGGACATACAGTGATATTCAAAACTGAACATTTAAGTACATTGACAATTGCCCAGAAATTTGCCAAACTTTGTCAAGATCGAGTAGAAACTGTCACAGTAGGAGAATCAGCGATTTTTGCAGCTTCAAAACCAGGAAAAATGGCAAAGAAGAAATAATTTAGTGTTTTTGTGTGTGATTTTTTGTTCTTTTTGTAATAAAGCACTCATTAGTTTGTTGATATAAAGGGAAATAAAAGCAGCGGTAAAGATATTCCTTACTCATTATATGTCGTACAATATACAGTATATTCGACTGTACTACAATGAATTCTACTACCAGGTATTATAATACCAGGTATATCATGTTTACCTTATAACAAATGTAGTGCAAGAACCATAATCATCCAGTCCATGACGGTATCCACACAGCAGCGGATCCAGGAATTTCAAAACGGGGAAGGGGGGGGGGATTGGGCATTAGAAGGTAGGAGTTTTGGGGGTGCATTGAAGACAAGACCTCATTGTGTGTGTCCTCGGCAAAATCCCCAGAAAACTTTGGAAATTCTAACAAATAAGATGTGTTTCCCTTGATTTTAGGATAAAGCAAACACTTTTTTAAAAAAAAAAATCAAGGGGGGGGGGGGCACGCCCGGCGCACTGGCCCTGGATCCGCCTTTGCTACTGATCCTCACCATAAATTATCCTACATTGGCATATAACGTCGCCTGCATCAAAATTACACATTAACATATGATGACCAGGGACATACACGAACACACATACAACACCATGAATACATTGATCGACAACATACAAGGTCATGTGAATGTAGCATAACCGACAACAATTTGAAGATGTAAAATATCGATATGCACATTTCTATCTCGCATTCAGCAGGTGGGGAAAGGTTCAGTTCCATATACCGGGTATTGAGTCATATTGTCGCTGGTATCAATATGTACCTCTGGACAGCTATATGCACAGCTAGGGCGACGAAATATAGCGCCATTTGTCGGTTAACAAAGATAGCGTTGATTTTCTCACGACGAAGTCCCATTAGATAAGAGAGCTTCAGACGTGATACGATTTAGTTGACATTTGGAGTCCTACAAGACAAGTGAAAATGAAAGTCACACTCTGTTTCGCTATCATTTGTTGTTTTGTCGGTGAGTTGTTTTATAAAATATCTTCTAGTAAAATATAGTATGGATGGCCTAAATATATATATGTATATACTTAAAACTAGACACATCATATTTAAAAATAGTGTTCCCAGTATTTCCATTCGAACGTTTTCTTTTATTTCAATATAATTTAATTCTGGTTGTAACGCTGTATTTGATTGGATAAAATATTTACTTTATATCGTATGAAATGGGTTGCCTACGTCACAATGACTTGCGTCAAAAACGTATCAATCCGCCTGACGTTACATTCAAATTATGTACAAACTAAAGTCATTTTGTTAGAACAATATCTTTTTTTCTTACATGAAATGAATGAAAATTAAATTATAAGCAATGAAATTAATAGCTACCCATTTTATACGGTATAAACTGGGTTGGAACAGTTAACGTTTTTTTATAAACCGCGAAGCGATTTATAAAGCGTAAACTGCCCCAATCCAGTTTATACCGTATAAAATGGGTAGCTATTAAATTCATTCCTTAAATGAATAGTTTTTTTTTGGTATCAACATCGTTTTTAAGTCTGCATATTATTCAATTATTAGGAAGTTAATGAATGCACAATATCTTATGAGTACTAAAATGATGTGTTCTACATTGTCAGTTTCATGTTCCAACATCTTGCAGAAAAAATCTGAAAAACAGAATAAAACATTGTACACGTATAATGGTCCATTACATTATAGCTGTGGTGTACAGTGAAGACTGCAGACAGACGTCTGATTGTGTAAACACCGCTTGTACCGCCGGGGCTTTTGTTGGATGCTCTCACTCAGCAAGACAGTGCACATGTTACACACATAACACGCATGGAATTGGTATGTTTGAATTAAATTCGATTACTAGTATTAACCGCAAGAGCAGCATATTTAAATCAAGGACATTTTATGTACATTAATCGATACCCATGGCTGAGACCGCATTGTGAATCTTAGAAGGCGTAAAATATCCCCTTTTTTATTAAAAATATATAAAATTTTAAATGACATTCGATGTGTATACTTGTTTTTAGCCTGTACTAACCGTGACACATGCCGCGCTTCATCAGCTCTTCACTGTGACAGGGACGAAAAGCACTGTGTGGACGGGTTCTGTCATTGTACCCACAACTAACAGACAGGGGTAGGAATGTTACACATCAATCTTTTATATATCTTCAGAATTTACAGTCACTTATACCGAGTTCCCAAATTTCTTAAATTGGTGCACAATACTTTCAGATTCTTTTAAATGAGATTGATAAATTATTTATTTTATTTTTCAGTCGATGCCAAGAAACCAGAGTTCGGTGATTTATGCCTCACCACCAAATAAAATGTTTTCAAAACAAAATGTTTTTTTTTTTATTACACTTACTAGTATTTTAATATAAAATTTCCCGTCACTTATCATACAACATACAGGGAGAGGTAATTAATGAAACAAAAGGTCTACGGGCCACATTGCTTACCTAAGCGCATCGGCTAGGAAAAAAAGCACAAATCAGTTTAATATTGAAAAGTTTATGGGAAGGTGTGTGTGTGTGTGAATTTTATACCAGAGGATGTCTCCATATCAAATTAACATATCTTTGCTGTTCTTGAGAAAAAGATTTTTAAATATATATTCTTACTGTTTATCACTTTGAAAAAAATTCACCCCCATTGCGGCCCCTTCCTATCTCAAGGGGTCATAATTTGAACAAATTTAAATCTTCATTACATGAAGATGTCAATATGATTAAACATAGCTTTTTCTGTTCTGGAGAAGATTTTTTCCTCTATTTTCTTATGTAAAACTTTGACACCCCACTGTGGCCCCATCCTAGTACCGGCGGTTATGACTTGAATGAACTTAAATCTACACAACCAGAGGATGCTTCCATATAAATAGCACCAATCACAGCTTTGCTTTTTTTAAACGAAGATTTTTTCTATTTATTTCAATGCTGAACTTTGAATGGTCCGGCCTATACACTGTATACCCCCGCAGCTTTGCTTTTTTTAGACAAAAATTTTTTCTATTTATTTCCGGCGATTCATGATTCGAACAATTCAGAATCATTTTACAGGATGCTTCCACGTGTTACAGCTTTTCTGGCTCAGTGGTTCTTGGGAAGAATTTTAATTATCTCACCCTAATTTTGTTTTCCCGATCATCCCTCCTTGTGAATGGTCTTGGTCCTGCATCTTAGAAATATATAACCCCATTTAAAGAGAATGCATTGAACCAAAATCGGCTCGGTGGTTCTTGCATGAGCAGAAATTGAAATGTGAAAAGTTTAGAGACGGTCATACATGTACAAACGACGGACAAAAGTATAAGAAAAGCTTACTTGACCTTTCAGCTCAGTCACATGAGCTTAAAAAGGACACAATTGATAAGCTTTCGTCAATAATTGCATCGATGCATTAACTAATATTAAAAAAAATATGTAATAGTTTCTCTAAAATTGAGCCATAAGAAAAACAGAACTGATAAGTTCAAGATCAAAGAAGAGGATGAGTTCAAAATACTAGTAGTTAAAATAAAAAAACAACTTAGCACTCGAGAACATCAAAGCATTGAAGCAAAAATATGCAATGTGGCTAGCTGGTAAAAGGACATGCCAGCCAACAACTTCATTATCCCATCCTCAATGGACAGTATATTTATAAGTATTTTTATTGACTCTGTTTTACTAATTTTTTTTTTTTTTTACATATATGAAAGATAACTCAATCGAAGGATAAAAATTAGATAAAATAACTTTTTTCTTTTGATTAGTACTGCCCCAGTTGTTCACCATACTTTACCTAGAGACAATATAAATGATTTCTTTCGTTTGAGGAACGAGTAAGACAGAAATCAATTTCTACTTAGTGATAATGAATTACTTTTTTCGAAATTACAAGTTTTTCATTCGAATACCTGTTGAATATCACGTGGTTCTTTAGAACCGGTCTCGTTAGCAAGGCAAAGGCTGACTTCGATCATGAACTGTTGTTGAACTAGAGTAACATCGAACCCGATATAGTTTAACTGGAGTGACGTAATTTTTCTACCATAGTTCTACCAACGGAAACACGAGGGTAGAACTATGGTAGAAAAATTACGTCACTCCAGTTAAACTATATATCGGGTTCGATGTTACTCTATAAAAATATAGTTCAACAACAGTTACTCAAGTACATGATCGAAGTCAGCCTATATAAATTGTGAATTGTGGTTTAAATGCCAGTTTAGGACGACAAGTAGAGCACGATAAAGTTTAAATTTTATCATGATTTATTCAATCACATAAGCATGTATATACATATTGATTTTCATATTTTGCATACCTGGTATGTTATGCACATTGTACAAATAAAACTGCTGCGTGTCGTTGCTATGTCCAAATGGTGTGTTTGTTGTTTATTGTACTTTCATTTGAAAGTAATGAATGCATGGACATAGAGTAGAACTATTTTATTTTTATTTGAATACTTCCCCAATTGTTCACCATACTTTACCTAGCGGAAACACGATATCCATTTATTTTTAGCTGCATATAATGAAGACTACAAAACCTTGTTTTATATGTTTCTGCTACGATTTATTGTCGGTATTTATTAATGCCATGTCTAAGGTTAAAAACTAATAAGGTTTAAATATCATTGTCATAACTGAGAACCATCGGACAGGAGTTGTTAGACGATCGAAAAGACACACCCTGTTTTTTTTTCCAAGTTCACGGAGTAACTGTTTAGATTAAGGTTAGAAAAAATTGAATTATCTTCCGAAAATGGACAATAAAAGATATATTTTGAAAAGAAACATACAAAAACACTTTTGATTTATATATTCCTTATTTACATCGTGTAAGGGACTGCAGACCCTGTGGCCTAATGGATAAGGCGTCGGCCTCCGGAGCCGAAGATTGTGGGTTCGAGTCCCATCAGGGTCGAACGCTACATTTTTTTTCATTTATTCATTAATACATTAATTTTATATTATTTAAAAATGATTACAATGCAAATGATACTAAAAAATCCATGAGGGAATACCATTTATTATACATGTATACCCGACAGTGTATCATTCAATTTTTAATACTGTAGATTTCACATATATAAAATCATGTGACAGAGTAGTCAGACTTTCCAGGTCACCACACTGTGGTATTTTGAATCCATATCACTCCTCTCTGAAAATGATGACATAGTTCAAAGAAACATGACATTATCTTTCTTTTGAATCAAAGAGTTCCCTGACAAACTGCTTTTGTTAGTGAAAAATGATATAAAATTGATCTCAAAAGTTTAGTTTTTTAAAACTATATTTTTCTGGTTGTAATGCCCTAAAGAGTGTATAAAATAAATTTATCTTTACAACAGTAACTTGATCTAATGGGTCGTATCATGTCGAGTTGACAGGTGTGGATCATCAGATCAAACAAGACGTGCTGTCAATTAAGTTCCTGTTATATTCATCGACAAAGACAAGGAATGAATCCCAATTACTGTTTGTTTATTGAAACCACTTTTCCGTTTCAAACATAAAGCAATATAAATTAAACATGCACTTTAAATTTGTATTTGTACATGATATAAAATATCCATTCCAGTGTATAAGCTCAATAAATTGTCAAAACACTTCTCATGGTGTTTTCACTGCTATCCTGAGGATCTGATATAAAATAGGTATAACATAGTTTATAGGCTGGCAGTTATATTCAAAGAAAATACATGTGAGCTAGCAGTTCTATGCAGAGAAAACATATCAGCCCTCCTCATCGCTGGAGATGACATTTTTCTTCCGGAGAACTTGTCGTAGTGGCACGTGATCGTCGAGATCAGAATCTGAGTCATCCAGAGGCTGTGTCAGTAATGTGGCAGGGAAAGAGGCTGAAAAGAAGTTCTAATATATTTAGTAAATAATAAAATGCATTTATAAAAAGTTGCTTTATTTGACAGCATAAATAACGAGACTTAATCATTGGAAAATGGTCTGTAAAACGGTTGATTCGCTTTAATGAAATGTGATAATAACTGCTTGTTCGATAAAGTCCATTTAAAATACAGATTACAAACAGAGGCAGCAAGAACCTCTAGAAACAGATGTGGGATGGCAAGTGCAATGGAGGAATCAATGAAGGTATCTTTACAGTCTATCTTAGTAAATGATTACTTAAATCTAATGAGATTTTCATGTCATCTAGCTTATCAAAATGATTATAAGTAAACCTGTGTTAAATACATTAAATCATGCTTAAATCATGCTTTTAACAAAGTTAATTTTTGCTTCGATACAAGCATAATTCATTATATCCGTTTAAGTTTACAACACAGTGTATATTTTTATGTCATGGGGAGAGAAAATCACTTCACTGTAAGAAGCATGTTCCCTATATGCATGTTTTACTAATCCAGTTTTGTCAAGGAATTTTACAACACATTTGTGAAATCCAAAAATATTCAAGAATTGGATGTTTCTTCTTAACAAGCTGTTTAGATTTAAAAAAATTTGAAAAAAAAGAAATGTCTCCCAAATTAAAACTGGAAACCTAGCTATCTTATAACTTAACTTTCACATTTGCAATGAATGCCATTGAAGTGTGCATGCATCTGGAGGAGAGTCAACCTGTCAGTTTGAACTGGTTTCTCTAATATACCCCTTGCAGAAATTATTAGGCCTAAAATAAAATATTGTTTGTTTGCAGTTGCCGACCGACCCACCGAAAATGCACCCGATCCAAACTTTTTTTTAGCCATTTTGAAATATTATTTTTTTTCTCCAATTTTTCAGGATATTAAAACTGTTTCATTTTCAATTTTTGTCTTCATCAATCATTAGTTTATACCAAGAGTGCAGCTTATTCATGTATAGTAGGCCTATGAAAAACTCTGTTTTATGTTATCTAACAAAAATCTGGAAACAATTTTTTTTTCCAAAAAAAAAAAAAAAAAATTGCCTACCTACCTACCCAGACTAAAAATTATAGGTCGGCAACTGCAAACAAAGAATTTTTTAAGCTTGGCCTTAATTTCTTTATAAATCAGATCCTAGGACCAGTGCTAACCAACACTCACCTGACTGTTTGGGGGGTTGCTCTGTTTCCTCCTCTTCACTGTCTGACATTATAAGACGTCTAGAGTCTGTTTTAGATCCCGTACTGTTTAACGGTCCAGGCTGAGAATCATCATCATCAGAATCAAATGACAGTTTGGGCTTCGTTGGTGAATTTTTCTTACCTGGAACATAACAGGTATTTCCTATTGAATATAAAGCATATTTGTATTTTATTCCATTACATCACAAGTGATGCATCCCTAATGACCCCTCCTTCCTTTTCCCCAAATACACTGGTACAACGGTAAAAGGAACAAGATTTAAATATACATATCACAAACACATGCAAATTGACTGTTCCTTAATTTTTTCTGACACACTATTGACAGAAAACAACAACCTCAAGTCCTCTAATTTTCCCTGAACTTACCCTCACCATCTTCCATCTTTTCATCAGCTGATTCATCGTCATCTGAAGCAATCATCAGCTTCCTCTTCTTGCTGTCAGGGTTGGTATCCGAGTCAGAAGTTCTGGTCCTCTTCACTGAGGCCACCAAGGGGACATTGTCATCATCACTGCTGTCAAACTGTAGAGGCTGTGTCTGAGGACCCTCCTGTGGCCCCTCTCTCTGTGGGGAGCTGACAGGACTCTGATTCTCCTTCTCCTCATCTTCACTAAAACAGAAGTGGAGGAAGTCAATTACTGTACATATCCATGAACATATTTTTTTGAAGGTGGGGTGGGGTTAATCATATTTTAGTACCTTGAGTGCAGCTTCTTGTATGCTAAGCTAAGTACATGCAAATATTTTAAAATTAAACAATACAGAACCTTAGCTCTAAATGTGGTAACTATTTTAAGTATATACATTGTACATGCAGCTAAATTCTGAGGGCACTTATTTTTGTACTTTTACAGTAATAGATGAAGTGATGTCTATGCAAATGGTGCTTAAAACCTCTGGTCACTTTTCATTAGTAAAATCATCAGCACATGTATTTCATTTAACAGTTATAAGTGTAATCAATCTGTTGTAAATTTAACTATTGTGTAAGCACAAATTTTCATGGGGATAAAATTTCCTTGATTTGAGTTCTAATCAGGTTTTGCAGGCATTTAATTTCCTTGTTACAAATACATTTACATTTCCAATGTCTTTGTCCGAGATAAAATTACAAATTGTAAATGTACTTTATTTCCCCATCAATGTATTGGCACGGTTCCAAAAAAACCCACGTGCAGGGCGGGACAAACAGCTAGACAGAAGCAGGTCTTGGAGCACGTGGATTGGCGGAATCAAAGCATGTAAATATAAGGAATAACTATCAGATTTTTCAATTTCATGACGATGATCAATCGACTCGCTAGCTTGATATGCAAATTATCACGCAAGCCAATCGATTGATCACATCATGAAATCGAAAAATAAGACAGTTATTCCTTAAATAATGCTCATCATGTAGTCATATAAAATTTCATGTGGAATTTAATTTCCATGATAACTGTTAAAACAACTAAACAAATGAAATTAAATTCCCAATGAATATTTCTGATTTTACAGTATTTCCTAACCTTTTTTCACTGTCAGAGTCCAAAAGCCTCTTAATTCTCCTTTTCTTGTTGGAGGAGTAAACTCCCCTTTTCTCTGTTGATCTAGGTGGTGCTAACATCTCATCCCTTACTGGGCTTGTTACTGAAGTGGTTGGTCCCTCTGATGAGATTGCACTGGTGGAAGGCGGAGAGGCCCTGTAAATCAGGTTTTATTATTCAGTAGTCATAAAAAGATGTTAGGGATTACTTAGTAGCTGATAATATTCTCCTCAATTGAGTGTTAAATAAGTAATTGAATCCTAGTTGTGGATTAGTCAATCAAAAAATCTGCATGGTACCCTTCTATTTCAAATATTAGAAATGAAGTTTTTTACAAAGAGGAAATCTATTTTGCCACAGTTTTTAGCATAAAAAAATATTACATAATTATGTAATATATAGCAGAGAATGAATGAAATTTTAACCACTCAATTTGACTAAATGAACCTTTTTCGTTCTCTCCTTCCGAGTCGACCTTCCTCTTTGTCCTGTTTCCTCTTCTCTGCCATCTGCTTCAGCAAATTCTCAAACTTATCATTCTTCTTTTTTGGTTTCTTTTCTTTCTTCTTCTTTGGTCTCTTCCCTGGTTTGGCTGCTGTTTTTGTCTGTCTGACTTTAATTCTTTCTGCTTCTGTAGGTTTACCATCCTCATCTAGCATTAACCCTGCCTCTATATCTCTTAGCTCTGCTAGGGGCATCTCTCCAGGGATTCTCCAGAAAGCTTCCTGTGTTTATAATAAATTTGTATAAAGAGTGCAAAAAGGCAGAATAAAGTTTTTTTTTTAATTTGAAGCTAAAACTCCCAACAGAGAAAATTCACTGACATATATAATTTTTATTTCTATATGGTTCTGCAGTTAGATTTTCCATATCCTAAATTTTGTCTCTTTTGGTCCAGTGCTTTTCAGATTCTTTAATCATCACACTGTCACTTAAAGAACAGGTTTTTTGCATTGGAAGGAGACCTTTTTCATTGGACTTTTTTTATTTGAACAAAATTTGAATCCACCTTTCAACCTTTGATTTGTTGCGATTAGTGCAATGATTCCAGAGAAATTGGAAATGGAATTGATGATAGCAACTTTGAACAGAAAGCTAATCTGAGTGTACATGTAAGCTAAATGTTTCCCCTTATTTTGTTCATTTCTTAATTAATTACTTAAAATTGAAAGAGCATGGAGGTTTTTTTTTTATTAAAAGAATTTCATTTCTTTCACACATGGTTGCTCTTGCAGTGATCACATTTAATGCATCCAAGTATCCAGATATATGTTTGTACAACACATCTTTCCTTCTGCTCTTTTTCAGAAATTAAGTTTTAATTTTCACTCGAAATCATATCTTGGTATATATATTCAATAGTACTGAGAGGCAGGAATACAGAGTAGTCAAACTTTTTTTTTTTAAATAAAGGACAGCATTCTATGAGCTTCTGTATTAAATCAGCACTCACTTGTTCACTAGATGGCGCTGAGATTCCTATCTGGCGGAGAAATGACAAGAACATCTCGTCTTCCATTGCTGTCTCATTTTCCTCCGTCAGTGGGACAATGGCTACCGCAACTGTACTGTCTGTTGGCAAAAAAGTTAGTACACATCTGAAATTTCATTTCTTTACTTTTAAAATGTAAAAGTTTGGTTATATCTACAAGTTAATAGGTCTCCGCAAAGTAAGATTCTGCTAACCTTTCTTCTCTTTATCGTCAGCTTTTCTTTTTATACACTTTTGAATCCACAGAATTTGGTCCTTGTACCCTATTTATCACAAAAAAGATTGTATTAGTAAACAAGAGGCCCAAGGGCCTTGAATCGCTCTTCTGATAAATTGTACAATCTATCACTTCTATTAGAAGCCTCCAACTCTATTAGAATCATAAGACCCAAAATGCATCAACTTACAAAGTTTGATAATATTTAGCCAGTTAAGACTGAAGATATTATAATATAATTGTAAAATACCATAAGTAGGTCACAGTGACCTACCTTTTGATTGAAATTTTTTGAGGACTCAAGATACATTAATTGACAAAGACTGATGATTCTAATTAAATAAGTACCTGAGATATTCAAAAGTAGGTCACTATGACCTACTTTTTGGTCAACATTCTTTGAAAATCCAAGATGCATCATCTGACAAAGTTTGACGACTCTAAGCCAATAAGTACCAGAGATAATTATATACAGTGGACCTTCAGATATCCGGACGCCAGATATCCGGATGCTTCAGTATCCGGACAATTTTTCATCGGAACAGAATTTTTAATTGTTATTCTGTCTTGTTTAACTGGTGATTCAGGTATCTGAACACTTCACATATCCGGACAAATTGACTGGGAACCAAAGCGTGATAAATGAGGGTCCACTGTATAGCCATCAAATGTCAAAAGTAGGTCACGCTGACCTACTTTTTGGTCGACGTTATTCAAAAACCCATGATGCCTAAATTGACAAAATTTGATGATTCTAAGCCAATAATTACCTGAGATATTCAAAATTAGGTCACCGTGACCTACTTCTTGTTGGACATTCAATGAAACCCTAAGATGCCTCAACTGACAAAGTTTGATAATTCCTAGCCAATAAGTACCAGATATAATTAAATATAGCCATAAAATGTCAAAAGTAGGTCACAGTGACCTACTTTTTGCAGTGTACGAAACTCGGAAAAAATTCAGGTGGACCAGCAGGGCTGACTACTCAAAAAGTCTGTCAGCCCTGCTGAAAATTAGCAAGCCCGCATAATAAAATTCAATGATAAGGATACGCACACTCACATTTGTACATTTTTTCACATCCACTTGAATTTCATACACAGTAATTAATAAGATTAAAATTTTATTAATTCAGTCAGCGTTTACTTCATAAATTATGAAGTTGTAGGTAAAAAAGGAAAAATTCACTATTAATTGCTAATCTGAAATACCAGGGTACATGTCCTATGTTGTCATTTTTTTCCTTCTAATTTTTACATTTGAAATACATTATAAGATATCATAGATACAATTTGTAACAGGTCATGATAATATATTTAACAATATCAACGTTTATAGGTATATTCACATGAATATTAATAATTTAGAAGTAATGAGTAATTTTTTGATTTTGATTGAAAAGAAAACATACAATTTTTAATTTCTCAGTACTTAAGAGCAATTTTTAACTAACATTCATTAAATTATAATTCCTTTATAATTTGAATTTTAAAAGGGAAAAAATATATTTTGATATGATTAAATATAACCTAAGTTTATTTTTGATTTAATAAAAACAAAAAATCAGTTAAAGCAACCACTGAATAAAAGCACAAAATGTTACCCTTAGATTGTAAGCAATTAAACAGTGTTGAATTATTTTGTACACTGGTTTTGTCTTAATATAAACGGCATGGACACTATACAAATATTAATACTTATTAATTCTTGTAAATAAACACATTGAATGTGTTTGATTTTTATCAGATCCTTTAAGTTGAAAAAAAAATTTCACAATTTACCGGTGGAAAGTTGAAAATATCGTTTCATGCGTGAAAACAGAGGAAATTCAGGTTAAAAGACGATGGTGGTATTCTTCATATATTTACAGATTTATTGATCAATTATATTGTTTATTTCTTGTTGTCCCAGGGAATAATGCCTTGTATGTACGTTGAAATATTTGGTCTTTACCTTTTCAAAACATTTATCTGCAAAAATGGAAGGGATGGGGTAAAATAAGTGCGTCCAAGCGGGCTGATGCAATGTAAAGTTTATACGTCCGCTCCAGATTTAGTACGTCTCGGGCGTGCGGGCGGACGGGAATTTCGTACACTGCTTTTTGGTTGACGTTCTCCGAAAACCTAAGGTGCCTAAACTGACAAAGTTTGATGATTCTTAGCCAATAACTGCCTGAGATACTTAAATATAGCCATAGAATGTCAAAAGTAGGTCACCATGACCTACTTTTTGGTCGTCACTCTCCGAAAACCCAAGATGCATCAACTCACAAAGTTTGATAATTCTAAGCCAATAAGTACCGGAGATACTTAAATAAAGCCATAAAATGTCAAAAGTAGGTCAACGTGACCTACTTTTAGGTCGTCACTCTCCGAAAACCAAATATGCATGGACTCACAAAGTTTGATGATTCTAAGCCAATAAATACCTAAGATACTTAAATATAGCCATAAAATGTCGAAAGTAGGTCATCATGACCTACATTTTGGTCGACATTTTTCAAAGTACCAAGATGCATCTACTGACCAAGTTTGATGATCGTAGATCTGAAGGTAATCAAAATATGCGTTTTTAAACAATCTGAAAACAAATGTCGGCAAAATTCAAAAAGTAGGTCACAGTGACCTACTTTTTCATAAATATATTTTAAGGTCCCAAGATGCACCAAAGTACAAGATTTGATGATTCTAAACCTCCAAGTGTCTGAAATAATGGGATTTAATGTTTTTAAAAGGATAAGTCATAAAGTTCAAAAAGTAGGTCACGGTGACCTACTTTTAAGTTGACATTGTTCGAGGACCCAAGATGCATCAACTGACAAAGTTTGATGAACATAGGCCTTAAAGTGTCCAAAATATGCCTTCAAATCAATTTGAAAACAAATCCCCGCAAAATTTAAAAAGTAGGTCATCGTGACCTACTTTTGAGTTAACATGATGTGAAATCATAAGATGCATCAACTTACAAGAATCGATGATCCTTGTCCTTATAGTAAGCAAAATATACACATTTTTATTAATTGTAAATTTAGGTCAATTTTGAAGTGACCTTGAGACCACGCCCTTTGCCCCAGGGTAATTCCCCGTGCAAATTTTAATCTTCGACATATCCTGATCCTTGTATGTAAGTTTGGTGAAAATCTGCCTGGTGGTTATGGAGAAGAAGATTTTTTAGCAACCAGTACTTTTGGTTTTGTTTTCCTGATTATATCCCCTTGTTTAAGGGTCCCAACCCTTATTTTAGTACAAATGGTAGCCCTTGGGCCAAGGATACCTATGACAAATTTGGTACTGATTGGCCAAGGGGTTCTTGAGTTATGGCCCACATTCTAAAAAGTTTACGCACACCGCACAAATGGCCATAGCATTAGCTCTTTGAGCCTTTGGCTCAGAAGAGCTAAAAATTGACTTAAATCCACAGGAGTAATATGTTAGCATCCTACCTTTTTCTATGAGTTCAGTGATAACTGTGGTCATGTTGAATTCACCAGAACCTGAACTCTTTTCTTCTTCATTCCTCTCTTCCTCTACATCACTGTCTTCATCCTCAGAAGAAGATGTAGAAAGGGCAGATGACTCTGATGGGAAGAATATGCATTTTATCACTCAAATACATTTTTTATGCATGTTATTTTCAATGAATTTGACAATCTACTAGAATAAAATATGATTATTTAGCACATTTTCTAAGTAAAACAAATAATTTATTTAAAAATCTAATTATGTGTTATGTAAATACACATAGACCGTCTATGAGAATTTAACTTCTTACTCATAAGTCTATACTTCTAAGTCCCCTCCCCCTTATTTTACCGTCACTGGAGTCCCTTTGTCTAGGCCCCTCGTCTCCACTCTCATCGCTCCAATCATCAACAATAGGCATGTCCTCCTCTCCAGCGTCCCAGGGATTCTTGGATTTTGTTTTCCGTTTCCTTCTTTTATACAACTCCTTCCTGTCTGACACTAGTTCAAGAGATAATAGCTTCTCTACAACCTTGGACTTGCTTCTTTTCTCTGTCATGTTGGATATAATGTTTTCTACTGGATCTGAAAAATTATAAATATATGAAATTAACTTTTACTTATCTGGACACCACTGGTTCCTTAAAAATCTTCCAGAAAGAAAACATTGAAAAAGAAATTTTAAAAATTTACATTTATGGAAAGGAACTTTGTATTCATTGCAAAATGCAAAATTTTGGAATACACAACATTTGGATTAGACAACTTTAACTGAACTGACTAATTGCATAAAAAGATGAAAACATTTGAGAACATCTGTATTCCTATATGAGCAAAATCATTTTTCGAGAAACATTTAAATCAGGAATAACCACTGACATTCTCACCTCAGGGACTTACCATCAGTGTCCCTGAATCTGTCAAACAAATTTCTCAGTTCAAATTCTTGTTCCTCGTTCCAACCTACAACTCTTTTAGGGCTGAAATTACAATAGAGATTTCTTAAACTTACACAAGTAAATATGTACAAGTCAAAAAAAAATTTATTAAATACAAGTACACATATTGAGTATGGTAATAATTTTTGGTGTGAAAATTATGAATGCGATAAAATGAGTGAATGAGTTTGTAATAATAAACCTACAGTAAAACTCATTTAATACGAACACGGATATAGCGAATTCACGGATATAACAAAGTTTTTCTGGGTCCCCGTCAAAATTCCTAACAAATCTTTGTAAAATTTTACGGTGAAAACGAACTCTGATATAACAAATTTATGGATATAGCGAATTGATTTTGAACCCGTTGAGGTTAAATATAATGAAATTTACGTCTTTTATAACGAACTTTCAAAGGTTATAAAAAAATTAATAAATTAAACTTACTTTATTTCCTTTTAGCATTTGTATATAAAATTCAATTCATAAGAAAACCTTAGTTATCGAAGATAAGTTTTGTAATATTTGCTCCACTAACATAGTTGGTAGTAACTTGCATTAGTGCGAATTCGCTATAATGGTTATACAATTTCGCTATACGGATATAACGAATTACGGATATAGCGAATTAAATTCACAGGTCCCCAGGACTTCGCTATATCCGAGTTTTACTGTAGTAAGTATTCTCAGAATAGAATTAAACTTAACAGTTATTGCAGGGATCAATGTAGCTGCAATAATGTAGCCCTCTCCCATTTTTTTAATCTGATGCTTTCTGGAGAGGGCTACAATTCCACAGCATCTCCCTAATGGTGCATAGGGCTAGGACGATACAACATTTACAACTTTTTCTATATCTGTTACGAATTTTCCCCCATGACCAAAATAACCCACAGATTGGATCACCCCAATTTATGCCCTGAATATTTATGTATCGTAAATTTATTTGTAGATATCATGGGAATATTACCAATCATCGTATGTCATTAATGTATGCTTTATAATCATTGTATATGTTTATTTCATGGATATCCTTTCGTTGTAATGTACAAACCCGAATTTCCTCCATATACCAGCCCAATCGTAATAGCAAATGGCCGTCTGGCATTGTTATTCGATCAAGGTACCCAAATCCATCTTGGCATCGTTACCAAAACAATTCCCAAACATCAGATCATCCTTTTTCCCGCATTTGTAATGATAAAGCCTTTACTTGATGCAAAAGTTGTTTGTGTTACCATACAAACGTCGCGCGAATACTGGCGGTACCACTGGTTATTCGCACGTGAACTAATTCGGCCCTAGTGATGAAAGGGTATATAAAGAAGGCACTTTGGACTTTTTCTTCAGTCTGGGACGCTGGTCAGACTCATTAACATCTGACCAGCTCAGAGAATCCCAACTCCCCAGAAGTGGGTAAAATCTGATGCCCCCATATTGGGTAAATAAACCCAATCTGCCAAGCCCGGCAGATCCATACCCAATTGATTCATTGATGCCAATCCCCGGCAGATCCATACCCAATTGATTCATTGATGCCAATCCCGGCAGATCCATACCCAATTGATTCATTGTTTATAAATTCATCCGGGTAACCCGGTAGAGCCGGATACCTTTTTATTGTCGGGTAACCCATAATTTATTATTGCCTAATTGCCAATTATCTTATTGTTATTTGTTATTCATTGTTTGCACCATAATAAATTTTATAAATTTGCAACCTGACTTTTCATTTAGAGTTAAAGGGTAAAATTCAGAAACAGGAGACCCACAATAATTTATTTTCATTGTAACAAACCCTGGAACAGGCGGACACGTTACATATCGATACGCATCAGGATATTTGAGCCACGATACGATATGTTTAATTGCTTATAAAATCTTTTTTTGCATTGAAATAAACAAATTAGTTCTTTGCAAATGAGAATAATTTATTCAAAATCATTGTTTATATGTTGTAAAACAAAAATATTTTACTCAAGTGGTGTTAATTATTATTTAGTCTCGTTTACCCCAGACTCTCGCTCTCGAGACTTTGCCCGAGCGAGAGTCTGGTCTGATTCCTATTTAATTTTTGTAATTTCAAATCGAGGCTTACCGAGAAATCGGTATGGATTTTCATTGGCTGATACATTCTCTTCGATGCTAAGATCTGTATTCTTTAAAATTTCAGAGGCTGCGCCTATACTTTTATCTGGTTTTATAATAAAATATCTCTTTCTGCTTTACAAGGAACAAAAAACGCACATATCTTTGTTTAAAAAGTAAATTCTCACATGTATTTTCACGGGAGTCGGCATCTTGTTAGCCGGTTTAGCGACCTCTACTGGTTACAAAAATTTAATAGGAATCAGACCAGACTCTCACTCGGGCAAAGTCTCGAGAGCAAGAGTCTGGGGTAAACGAGACTAATTATTATTTATTTCATTTCTATATTTATATCTAACTTATTTATTTTATATATTGAACCCCAAATTTTAAATAAACAAAGAGAAACAAGTCAGAATTTTCTGGGCGATGTTTCGATGTTTTTTTCAAATGTATCGTGTATTGTCCTCACATACATGTATATCACGATATATCAGTATCTCAATATATCGTCCCAGCCCTAATGGTGCAAATATATTTTTTGAATATGGGCGACTGCAGGCAAATAAATTTGTTTTTACATTTAACTTACTTATAATAAGACAAAATTTTTTATTCACTGTCAACAACATAGCCTGTTCAACGCGAAAAATGTGTAAAATAAATCTGCGTGTTTACTAGTTGCTCTACTCAGCCTGATACATGCATTCACCTAATCAAAATGCAAACTATTAAAATGTGGTCCTGTTTCTTGTATTAATCACTAACCCTGTCTGACGTTTGAGGTCTTTAGCACTCTCTATTAGTCCCTGTTTCTTCAGCTCCCTTATGATCTGACCTCTTGTCTTGGACTGGTCACTCATGTCCCTCATAATGTTGTCAAGCACATCTACAGAAAGCATATATATGTATCTCATGTTTAAATGTAAAACAAATCAATGTTCTAGTATTGTTTTCTTACACTGATATCACCAATTGACTTTGTCTTAATAAAGTTACATGACATATTACTTTACCCTCAATTCATGAAATTGTTATTGCAAAACCATTATAACATGCAAAACCTCTATTGTATTTAAAATACCTACTGGGGTATTTAAAATAAACTTAATTTCAATTGAACAATTCATTTTTTGAACAATTCTTACCCCCTTCCTCGGTAGCACTATGTTCTTCAAACAGTCGTCGTAATTCAATTTCCTGATCCTCAGTCCAAACTTGCTTCACTTTTCTACATGTATTTAAGAACAGAGGTATTCATCAAAATTCAAACTTTAGACAGTCTCACTGTACTGTAGCACATAATCAAAGACCAAGCCTTCAGAACTTTATACAACAATATGTGCTGTAATAATCAATGTCATAACCTCAATTTATAAAAGTGTGATCTGATACAAAAAAGTGTTTTGCACCTAAAAAATAACTGCCACAAATAACAAGGCCCATAGGCCTTGATAGTTCCTTGAGTATCAAACATTTGTTATGATATAGGCCTATTCTGGAACTCTGGACCCATGAAACATGAATTTTACACTATGGTACGGACTTAAAATTCAATACATGTATTAATTTCACAAAGCTTGTCTCATATCTATATTCAAAAGCAAAGATTTTTGCCCGATAAAATATATTTCTCCTTCCCTGGGAAAATGTATATTTCTATTGCTTGACTTCTTACCCCTGATAAGACCCATAACCATCCACAATCTCTGAGGCCTCCCTGTGTCCCTTCCAAAACAGCATTTCCATGAACACTTTCTTGTTTTTCTCAGCAACCTCAACAAAGCGTCGGATTACAAAGGTAGCAAACTTGCCTATTTCCTGCAGAGTTTAGAAAGTAAGATATTTTTCAAGACCATAAGGAAATTCTGAAATTTTCTGCATCAATCCTATTATTTATTCAAAATATCCAACATTGTTTCAATAAACAGACAAAAAAAAGTTTTAATAAAATGTCTAAGTAACAGTCAATATGACTTGCAAGTTGTTCGCAGTTAAGTAACAAATCTAATTTTACTTTCTGCAAAATCTCCAACTGTCTTTATTTCATACATCACTGATTGCTATTTCACAGAGCTTACTTTGTATCTCTCTGTTTTGGCCAGGGGAGACAACAAAATTTTTTGAAACACTCTGAACAGGGAGGCCTGGAACATCATTCCCACGAAGCCGAGCTCTACACTCAGTCGGTGAAGCATCTTAACAACACAGTGGTTAGTATGGACCGAGTTCTTCTGAAAGTCTGCCAGTAACAGGACATAGGATTTGAGGATTTCTGGTTTACCAAACCTGATGGAGAAAATATGGAGAATAACAAGAGGACCCTACAGTTCAAAAAGTGTGCTTAAAAATTAATTCATATTTAGTAGTTAGGATTAGTAGTTAGGAAGTCAGGATACTAGGTAAATTGTACTTACTTTGCCAGGAATTCTTTAAAGTTGAACTCCTGCTCAGAGCACTCTATAGCAGTCATTTCTTCTTCTTCAACTAAAAGATATAATGAATAAACTATTCGTAGTACGCTTTTATTTTTTGAAGCAATCTTCCCCCTCCTCCCCTTCACTTTTTTTTTTTACATCCGTGATGCATCAAATAATCAAACATGACTCTCTGTAGAGGAGATAAACTTATGGTCCAAATATTGGACATAGTTTTAACTTTTTGGGAAAAAAACAACCACTGAAGATAGACCCCTCTCATCATCTTTACACAAAAGTACGATTGTGCTATATGATTAGCCTATACATATATGCCTACATATACATAATACATATACATGTATGTATGCTAAGCCCACATGTGGTACAAAAATATTGTTTACATACAGTATACTTCAATATTATATGATTGCACTTAATATAAGCTAACTTTAAAGATTCTTCTGTTGACCTACTTTCATCTTCTTGTTGGTCTTCTTCCAGATGTTCTACAGATGGCTCTGGTGCTGGTCCTGAAATACAAAGTTTTGGAACATCATGAAAGACTCGAAAACAAACAGGCAAACATTCTAAAAGGCTGATACTTCTTGACCAAAAATACTTGTAAATGCTCATGTAAGACTTCTTTCTTGGTCACATCTGACCACAAATTACATTCCGATAAACAATAATTTTGTCAACATATATGATATAATTAAATCTTAATAACCTTAAGCCCCATTACAATCTTGGATGCCTAAAACACTGACCCAAATGATTCTATAGTATGTTCTTAGATAAGTAAATGAATACTGTAAACCAACTACATGTATTTTTTGTGTCATCTTTTATTTGCAATTCGTCAGTTTTAAATCAATCCATGACGACTAATTTTCACAACATGAATAATAGTTGGTTTACAGTAGTTTTGTTATTCCACTCTTTTTTCCCCTAAATTAATTTGTAGCACTCTCTATGTATCAAACTTGTTAGCCTTGAATTTCAGATTTTCTAAATATTAAATATTGTAGGTTGTGAGTACTGCTAAAGATTATTTATCTTGTACTAACAGGCTGCTGAGTTTTAAGTATATTTGTTCTGTTTCAGACTGATAGGCAATATGATTCTTTTGTTTCAGCTTTTATTGTCCAATCTACAACTTTCTTGGAATGTCAGCTTTCCACAAAAAATAGAACATACACAAAATAAGAACAAAGTCCTAGTAGGTCCTGTGAAAAAAATGCCTTCTTCACCAATTAACCAAATAAAAGTTGCACAGACTTTATATGAAAACAGGATGCTTTTGAGATTTGATAGTTTGGTACTAAGTATAAAGTGTCTGCAGGAAATGCTATAACAAGAAGTCGCAGGCTTCCTTAGTACAAGTCAAACCTCTGACAATCTGTCATGAGAACACTGGTCAATTAAATGTTTGTAGGATATGCTATATAAGTTAATTATTAAAAAAAGATCCCTGATGAACATATATAACTTCTTTCCTCTATATAAGTAATGAATTTATTTTTTCAAAAAAAAAAGACAACGCTGAAATAAAAATACTTTGTTGAAAGGGAAAAACTGGAGCAAATTTTTTTTGAGAAAATTAATTCAACAACCTATTAAGCATATTCAATATATTCAAATAAAATTTTAATCATACTGAAATGGTATGTATGAACCAACTACAGAACTCTTTTCACTGAAAACTATATACACATTAAAATAATTAATTTACAATAATTTTTTTCCAAGTGACAAAGAAACGAAAAAAGACTCAACACTGCCATAACTTCTCAAACAATCATACAACTGAAACATGACAAATCTGTTTCCTG